GTATATGTGTGTGTGTGTATGTGTGTGTTTCTAAAAGAGAAAGAGAAAGAGAGGAGATAGGGGAAAACATAAATTGGAGGTAAAAGTCCAGAGACGATGGAGAATTGTTCTCGCGACAACGCGCTTCTATTAACGATCTCCACCCGGTATTCTCCCCTTTTCGTGTAACGAGGAAAGAGGGAGAGAAAGAGAAAGAGAGAGTTCACGGAATAGCAAGGGATTATCTTTGCAAGAGAAAGAGAAAGAAAGAGCGAGAGAGAGAGAGAGAGAGAGAGAGAGTAAATCCGTTTAGGACGAAGACAAAGAGAAGACATTGAACGATCTATCATAGATAGGTATCTTTCGATACATAAATTCCATATACAGTTAATTAGACAAACCCGTTGGTATATAATGATAAAATAATATATATAGTACTAATTAACAATAAATGTCGATAAATCATCGATAAAGAAGCTTTTCGAGCTTATTATTATCAAATAATACAATGATTAAGCTATTGATGAAAACTTTTCTAACTCGTCGTTTCGCGCGAAAAACATCTTGTCTATTATATAGAACTATCGTATTCTTTTCTCTCTCTCTCTCTCTCTCTCTCTCTCTCTCTCTTTCTTTCTCTTTCTTTCTCTTTCTTTCTTGTAGTAGGTATAGACGCACAACGAAGGACTGGTAACGCGATAGCAGCCGTATGTAAACCCATCTGGTGTAAAACGAGCTGCTGGCTCGTTCGAGTATTAAATCGGCCCCTCTCTCCTAACTCTCTTTCCGATTCTTTCGCTCCCTTTCCGCTTCCCGCCCTTTTCCTTTGCTTCGATAGCATATACGTATATAAAGACACTGTAAGAAAAAGAGTGAGAGAGAGAGAGAGAGAGAGAGAGAGAGAGATCTGTTAAGCCAGCCAGCAATAACAACGCCTTGCATTCTTGGCTTAACGTCGCAACGAGGTCGAGATGAACTCGTTAGCATTCACGTGTCCAAAGTAACCGACTCGCGTCCGCGCCTTAACCTCCCCTCACCTCTCTTAGCCAAGTGTCCCTTCGTATTAAATTCCGAATCTCTCTCTCTCTCTCTCTCTCTCTCTCTCTTTCTTTGTCTCTGTCTCTCTCTCTCTCTTTTACTCCTGATGGCAAGCGAAGGAGTCGTAGAACAAAGGGTAGGATGTTCGAGAGTTTCGACGAAGGTGATCTCCTTTCGATAATGCAAACATCCTCCTACTCCTACTTCTCCTGTTCTCTCTTTTTCTCTTCTTTCTACGATTTTGCATTTATGTGTGTGTGTGTGTGTGTGTGTGTGTGCATAAGTATGTTTTTCTTTTTTCGCAAAGGATAAAAAGTCATCGACTTCTGACCTTTACGATAATTTTATTTTTCCATTCTTTTTACCTTTATCTTTCTTCTTAATCCTCTTATCAATCCTTTTTGTTTTTTCGTTTCGACTTGTAATTGAAAAGAAAAAAAAAAAAAAGAAGAAAAAGAAGAAGAAATCTTTGTTAAAAAAGATACTACCGATAATTACCGTAGATACACGACAACTTTTTCATAATGACGATCAGTTTAATAATATCAATTGTTATAAAACAATCATCTAATTAGTTTAGCTGGTACCAGTACTTTTCTTTCGTTTGTTTGTTTGTTTCTTTCGAATCTTCTTCTCGTTCACCATAGAAGGAAGAAAAAAGAGAGAGAGAGAGAGAGAGAGAGAGAGAGAAAGATAGAATGAGAGAGTGGGGGTGGTTGGTTAAGCGTCTCGTAGCGGCCGGCCACGATGCCTGGCATTCCTACCGTTAAAGCTGGCGAACGCATTAGTTAACGGCCCTGAAAATGACACTTTGTATCGGCTAATGGGTAATTAAAGTCCCGGGGTTACGTTTCGGTTGGAATTTATTAAACGCCGACCACAATGTACACACCGACGCTAGGCCGACACACTCGGTTATCGGAACTCGTGTTTATGGAGGTGCCTCCAACCTTAAAACGTTTGCCAAAATTTCTGGATAAGCCGCAGAGACGATTCGAAGCTCGCCATCGAGGGAGAATTGTCTGATGGAAAGAGTATCAAAAGGGGGATGAAAAAGATGGTAGAAACCTAGAAAGAGAGAGAAAGAGAGAAAGAGAGAGAGATTGAGAGATTGGAATGGACAGTAATCGTGCTTTTGCTTAATTATATTAGAATGTATTGGGAACAATGTGAATGATATGGAAAAGAAAACACATCGAGATAATTATTAAAAAATGAATTTATCGATTGTCTAAGGAATATATATTTTTTTCTACAAGGAGCAATCCAAGTATTGAATTGTAAAGAGAATGAATAATAAAATGAGTTTAAGAAATGTATATATATATATATATATATATATATGTATATATATATATATTACAATCTTTTCTTACTGTCCATTCAGGAACTCGAGTGGTGCAAGTCGATTCATTCCAATTTCAAGCGACGATCCAACCTAATTTTATATCTATTGTATGTATATCGTATTATTATATTGAAATAGACGGAAACGAGACGAGAATAATCAGATTAGATTTGGATGATTTATTTATTTCAGATATTTGCGTGTATGTGTATGTTTATATACATGTTGGATAATTCAAACAATGTGAAGTAGTAAATAATTTGTAGTTTTTCTCTTTTTTTTTTTTCTTGTTTCTTGACAGTCATTGCATGATAATCGTTAAATACTAAATATATTAAGGGGGAAAGAGAAAAGAAGAAAGAGAAATAGAGAGAGAGAGAGAAAGAGAGGGAGAGAGGGAGAGAGAGAGAGTAAAAAATTGATAGAAAGAAATAGAGAAAATTATTATAAACGAAATATATAATGTAATTATATGATAAGAAGATAATTTAATCCATGAGAATGCTGAGTTTCCGTGTATTTGTAAAGTCCGAGATTTTTCAAAATAATGACACGTATGATGACGTATAATGACGATGAAATTAAAAAAAGAAAAATAAGAAATAAAAATAAAACAGAAGAAAGTAATAATACTATTGCTAAACAAAAAATAATAATTATCTGTGTTTTTTTTATGATTTTCTCGACTTACACCATTACTCTCATTCTCAAGGTCTCTCGCATATCATTTTTATAGACGTTGATATATAATATGGAAGAACGAAAAACGACAGAATGATTTTTCTTAGAACACTTTTTCATACAATCGATCAATGGCAGATGTTTAAAACGCTTTGTTTCTAATAATAATCTATAAATGGGCAATATTATTATATATTTCTTCCATATCGGAATGAAAAATTCTTTTTTTCATCTGCTGTTGCTCGAGCATAGTTAAAAAAACAACGCTATGATACCTACGATAATTAACTTATTTAATTATTAATTGCGATTAATAATCGTTAAGTGAATTAAATATTACCCAACACTTGATATATTCACCGCGATTATATTAAATAACACGAAATCAGATTTGTTCAAATTTATTTACCATAATTTTCCCTCATATAATAAGCTTTACGTATCTATAATACTATATTATTATTATTATAGTACGTATCTATAATAATGTACGTACATGTATATATGTATCTCTATGTATGTTTATATAGTCAATGAAACGCAATGATCAATCTCATACATATTTTATATATATATTTTTTTTATTTATTTATTTATATACGATATATTATTTTACGAAAGATCCCTCGTCCGACGATTTCAGAGAAAAAAAAAGATTATCTTTTATAAAAATTTCTTATTTTTGATGATCGTCCGACGAGCGATCCTACGAATTACAGGATCGACATTTTTTTTTTTTCAAGCACGATCGATCGAGATTTTTCTCAAGCACGATCGATTATCATTAATTATTACTATCGATCGGGATTACCATTAATTATTACTATTATTAATATTATTATCGTGCACTTTGCACATTTACTCGTACAAATCTTTCTTATAAGAGTAACAGAGTGTAGTAAATTATCTATCCTATTCGTAATATTCTAATTTGCATAAATATATGATTAAAATACGATATATATATGTATATATATCGAGAACTGGCAGATCGTTCCATCGTGATTTTTACCTTTCCAGCTCTCCCAATTTCATTATAATAAATTGTTTATGTTTATTCAATGGAAATTTCAATGGAAGGGAATCGTTTAGTCAATGAAATCTTTATGAGTGCCACAGTGATCATTCGAGGATCGTAGATTTTTATACGATTATTATTAACTACCTATTGTACGTTTCTCTTTCTTTCCAATTTTTTTTTTTTCGTTATTATTCTCTTTTCCTTTTTTTTTTTTTTGTTTTTTTTTGTTTTTTTTTTTGACTTTTCTCTGTTTTCTTTATACGAACTGTCCGAAGACACATCTATTCTCTCGGATTTGATGGATCTGAAAGAATATTCATTGAAAGAAAGAAAAAAGGATCTTTGTCTAATGATCTAATGATCGATCCTACTAAAAAACAAGAAAAGAAAAAAATAGAAAGAAAAAATAAATCAATTATAGAATTCTCTTCCTACGTATGATAATATATATATACATATATATATATATATATATATATATATATATATATATATATATATATATATCGCTGAAAATTTTCTTTACAATCGCTTTGGCACTTTTGGTACGTGAGAAACAAAATGTTAATTTGTTTTAAATGGTTGATGGTTTAGAGGAAATAAAAGGAAAAAGCAAAAAATATGAATAAAAAAAGAAACGCAGACAAAGGAGTATAGATGGATCTAAAGAAAGAAAGAAGGAAAGAAAGAATAAAAGGAAAGAAAGGAAGAGAGAGAAAAAATAAAGGTAAAAATGAGTACACATGAGAAGAAAAAAGATCGATGAGAGAGACAGAGAGACAAGGTGAAAGAATGGAAGTGAGAGAAAGAAGGAGGGAGAGAGAGAGAGAGAGAGGTTTTACTAATGCCTCCTAATGTGGTTCTGGGAGAGCTGAAAGATAATAAAATTGTGGAGAGCACCCTCAAGTGTCTTAAGAAAGCCCTGCCACTGACCTTTCTCATAGTTGATTTGCCTCTCCTGTTGCCTCGCGTTGTCAGCTGCGACCTTGAGCAAACCCTGGATATTCCTTAACAAAGTCTCCGTACTCGAAACCGAAGGGTCCTGAGCACCCTGTGACACTGCGACTGCTGCTGAGGCTATCTGAGAGTAGTTCAATGCCTGAGGACTCTCCGAGCCTGGTGCTGGAAGTGGTAGGTTCTCTGGTACGTCCGATAAATCTAAAACGGAAAGGAAAAAAGGAAAGAAAAAAATTAAAAGAGACGAAAAATATTAAGATGTTATCAGTATATGTTCTGAGTCGGTGATCAGCTGTTCACCATAAACAAATCATTTCTCCCATATATACATACATGTACAGACATACATATATATATATATATTTTTTTTCTTTTTCTTTTTTTTTCTCTTTCACATAATTATCATATTATATCAAAAAGATAAAAGAAACTTGTCAGTATATATTTTGATCAATTGTTCGATATTAATAAATCATTGCAATATATTTTCACATATATTTTACGTAGTTATATAAAATAACACAGGCACACAATATCCACACATATACATACAGAGGGAGACAGATAGACATTTTCAAAAGGTTTCTCAAGCTATTTCTCTCTTTCTCTCTCTCTCTCTCTCTCTTTTCCCCTTTTGTAACTAACATTAATAATAATTATTATTATTTTATCTGGCTCATATGCGTTTGTCACCGTGCGTATACTGGTCGTTACATCGAAAGGATTCTTCGAAAGGCTTTTGCCTTGGGCAAACAGGGAATTTCGGTAAAATTTATACGATGATAAATCTTGATATGACACATCTCGGGAATACATATCCTTGGAGATTTTTTTCTTTTTTCTTTTTCTTTTCTTTTTTTCTTTTCTTTTCTTTTCTTTTTACCTTCGAATGAGAACGTCTATCTATTCCAGATGAAACACATATAAGGAGGACATAGATCTCTCTCTTTCTCTCTCTCTCTCTTTTTTCTCACACATACATACATACACACACATATACAAAAAAATTTTTTCTTTATCTTTGTCCTTCCCATACGAAACGCATATCGCATGCGGTTCCGCGCGAATGCGCGACAGGCGTACGAGAACGAAGCGTCATTAATAAATTTAGTCGAACGATCGTTCGAACAACGTTCGAGGGAGGTCGAAGTAGGAGAAGAGTTACGCCGTGTGCGTGTTTCAAAGTCGTAATCTTCGTAAGACTACTTGTTACCCTTCGCCACTCCTCTGATTTAACGTCACCGCGAGCGAATTAAATTTTGCGAATGAAATGGCGACCCCCCCCCCCCTAGAAATCTTATTTTTATATCTACCTATCATTTTAATATTTCCCTATCGACTTTTCATCACTGAGAAAGACAGAGAGAGAGAAAGAGAGAGAGAAAGAGAGAGAGAGAGTGTGAGAGAGAAAGAAAGAGAGAAAGAGAGGAAGGGATACTTTTTATTGACTCTTTTTTTTGTTCCTTTACTATTTTTAACATTTTCGTCTTTCTTCTTCTGTAAAACAGAGACGAACGTTTGTTTTAACCGATCGAAAAAGACACACAACGCGATCGTTGGAATACAGAATGTCTTATGGTTATTGCGAAACGGGCTGGAGTGGTGAGACAAGATGTCTGCGTGGGTTCCAGCCTTAAGTGATCGTGGTTTCTTTTCTCTTTCTCTCTCTCTCTCTCTCTCTATACATATATATATATATATATATATATATATATATATATATATATAAATATATCTGTGTCTATGCTTGTATGCGCTCTCTACGGCCCACACCATTGCCTTAGTATCCAGACGCTGCTTTATGGCCAATGATATGTGCTTTATTGTATCGTCTTTTAATTATCAGCCTGCACCTACAACACCAACGGCATTTGGTTACTTATTGCCATTGCTCGATTTAATGCTCGACGAGCGCGTGCGCACACAGAGCAGCGCAGCGCACTCCGCTAAGCCGGCACCTTTTGATAGCGAGGTTCGCGCTCACGAGTAGACAGACGCGCCGCAACCTTCTTCTTCTTCTTCTTCTTCTTCTTCTTCTTCTTCTTCTTCTTCTTCTTCTTCCTCTTCTTATTCTTCTTCTTCTTCTTTCGATGCCCAACTATTTTTGTTTCCACGTTCACTTCTTCGTCCACGCTATCTTGCCACGAGCGACCATTACAATTATCGGCGGACCCGCGCGCTCAGAAAAAGCTTTTGGAATCCCGAAACTATACATATAACACTCGTATTCCTTTACTTCTTACAAAAACGCGTTCTGCTATCATCGTGAGTGCCCACGATGTAAGATGTGTGTCTGACATGTGCGAATCTTAAAACGAAAAAGAATTCTCATTCTTCTTCGGTGAGAATTGTTTTTTTATTTATTCAATTTTTCTTTTTTTTTTTTCTCTCTTTTTTTACACAAGACAAGATGTAAGAGAAGAATAAGAAAATCGAAAAAGGAAAGAGGAAAAAAAATAGTAAAGTGAACTAAAGAAATAAAGAATTATCGTCTATTTCCCTTTTTTACGAATATATACATACATACATACGTACATACGTACATATATACATATATATATATATGTAATTATACTTTGAGAATTTTCTCTTTCTTTTCCTTCTCTTCTTTTCTTTTTTCGTTTCTTTATTTTCTTTTTTTTTTTTTATTTTATATTGTTCTGTCTTTTTATCAACCATCACTGATCACGAATAAGGCACAGGTATTATATATAATTTATAATTATGAATAATACCTACGCCATACACTTTTCCCTCTTTTTATTGCTTTTAATCACTGATTTAATAGCTAATTAGTCTATGTATATATAGATTGTATAAAAATAATAAAAAAATCAGAATTATCTCTACATATTAACGATTATATTTTCTAATGGTGAGACACTTTCTCAATGATAATAAATTAACAATTATATATTAAAAAAAGAATAAATATTATCTCAATAAAAATAAATAATGACTATTAATTCGTTTCTTTCGCAAAAATCAATTATCCTATAATCTTCCCATTTCGTACAATTTTTTCCAAAGTTCGAAAGAAAAAGGAAAAGGAATCGTGCGCGCGCGAGAGAGAGGGAGAGAGAAAGAGAGAGAGAGAGAGAGATTGGATTCCGGGAAGGAGAGCGAGAAGGAGATAGTGGCGCGTCTCATTAAATCAGAACGGCATTCCACGGGCGTGTACACTCCCACGGGCATTCGATGGGGTTCTATTTCGATCACCATGAGCGCCATAGGTAGGATGTACCCGTTGCATACGACACGCTGCGAGACACGGATTTTCTTCGATCCGAGATACTTCCCCTCAGTCCCCTTTACCTTAGCCCTCACCCCTCAATACCCCTCATCCCTGATCCCTCAACATCCCTCCCTATCCTCCCCTTCTCTCTCTATCTCTCTCTTTCACCTACCAAAGACAGACAATTTATACGTCTAACTGTTATGTCTTTCGACGAAATTTAGAGAGCTCGATGCCAATTCTAATTCCTTTTTAACTTGTTCAATTCGTTAAATCGAGTTGTACGACTTCTTCTTTCTTGGCTTCTATATAAAGAAAGAAAAGAAACATAAATGATTGATATTTTTCAATCGTCAAATAGATCAAAATTATTATTGAAAATATTGATGAATAGGTCAACAAAACGAAACGAAACGAAGTATGATAAAATAAAAATAATAAAAGAGTAAACTCTACTCCCCTCTAAAAAAAAAAAAAAAAAAAAAAAAAAAACAAAGAAAAGAAACAAAATCAATGATAGAATTAATTCTTCGAATGATAATTCTTATTTTCAATTGATTAAATCTAATAGAAATAAATAAATAGAAAAAATAGCTAAATAATTGTTCAGACAAATAGAAAGTGAGAGAGAGAGAGAGAGAGAGAGAGAGAAAGAGAGAAAGGGAGTCGAGTTTATAATCGTTTCGTTTGTTCTAGACCCTTTCCGCGCCGCCACCAACCCACCCTCCCTCCCTTCCCACCCTTCCTCCCCCCTGCTGCGTTTATCTTGCAACTTATTAGCCCGAAATATTCATAATAAGCAATTAACGTTGAAATATGAATAATGTATCGATCGTTGGAAGTCGTGCGGACGAATGAGTGGAATATTAATTCACCGCATATAACGTTTTATTTTTCCATTTTCCCTTTTTTTCTTTTCATTTTTCTTTATTTCTCTTTTCTTTTTTCTCTTATTTTTTCCTTTTTTCCTCTTCCCTCCCTCCCTCCCTCCCTTTCCCCCCGTTTAATTTCAAAGAATCGATTTTTTTCTATTTCTTTTTTCGTCCGTTTGTTTGTTCTCTTTTTCCTTTATTTTTTGTTTCGTTTCGTTTCGTTACGTTCTTCTTTTGTTCCATTGTATTCTTATTTATTTGTTTTTCTCCCTTTTCTCTCTCTCTCTCTCTCTCTCTCTCTCTCTCTCTCTCTCTGTCTCACACACATCTTGCGTAGGTGTGCCGAAGATGTCCAATCGGGTGGTTCTCTAATTAGCCTGAGGCTAATTAACGTGTGCCGTAAGGACAATGAACGAATCGATTAGAAATCAATGTGATCAATGTCGCTTCGTTGAATTCGAATGAGTTCTAATATGATACCTTAATATCAAAGATCTTATCACGGATTATCTTTCTAATTCTTTGTAACCAAATATCAAATTTGAGGGTCTAATGATAACGTACGACGTAAATGTCTCAGTGGTGCTACGATATTAACTAAAACTGAACAACTAATTCGATCTAATGATAATAATAATAATAATAATAATAATAATAATAATAGTAATAATAATAATACATTAATATCGATTTATTCTTAAATTATTTATGACATTATACCAATGCATAGTTTTATTTCTTCATTCTCATTGAAAATTTTATTAGATTAATTTATCGGCTGACGCACCTCGTAGTATACAATGAACGTTAAATAAAAAAGGCATGAATGAGAACAACCGTCGTGTAGAAAGTTTCTCAGGGCCAGCGAGCGGACGAATATTCGAACGTCGTTCTGATGATCGATGAGAGGGCCTGACCCATAAGTCGTAACGAAGAACTCATCTTTAAACGTGTCTTGTCCAGTCAAATCGATATAATTATTTTCCTCATTGTTGCTTACGCCAAATTTTCTAAATCGTTCATCTTTTCTCTCTCTTGCTCTCTCTCTTGTTCTCATTAATCGAAACGAGATATACATACGGTTCGTCCTTTCATTATTTATTTATCGTTTGATTTTTTTTTAACCTGTAATAATTTATCGTCAACTTATTTTCTTACCTTACGATCCCTTACGTTCATACGTCACATTGATTTATCATTCATTTAAATTTTATTCACAAACGCTAATGATCGAGATTATTAGATATGAAATAAATACGTATATATGTATGAACGTATGCATAAGATGGTCTAACACATAAAATTATAACGAAGAACCCATCTTTAAACGTGTCTTGTCCAGGCAAATCGATATAATTACTTTCCTCACTGTTGCTTACGTCTAATTTTCTAAATTGTTCATCTCTCTCTTTCTCTCTCTCGTTAATTCAAGACGAAAGATACATACGTACGATTCATCCTTTTTTTATTTATTTATCTTTCTTCTCATTTAAAAATAATATATTCGTCAATTTATTTACTCACGATCGTTTACAATTCACACACATTGCATTGATTTATCACGAATTTAAATTTCATTCGTAAATTCTAATTATTGTAGCTATTAGAAATTAAATAAATACGTATACGAGTACTACGTATTACGATTTAAATTTTACTCGCAAACACTAATGATCGTAATTATTAAAAATTAAATAAATAATTATACACACACACACACACACACACACACGCGAGCGAGAGCACAAATATACATGTATATAAGTATATATATGGAGATTCTAACCTTCGTCCTTCTCGTTCTCGTCCTCGAGGTCTTCTGATAGATTATCATCCTCTTCCTCGTCGTCTTGCGAACGATGCGACGCTCCAGCTTCGCTTCCCGAATGTTCACCAACGCTGCCGCTTCCTGCTGTCTTCGAGAGGTTCAACACAGGACTGTGCCCGTTCGAAGAACCTACACGACGAAGGATAAACAAATACGAAAGATCATTTAGTTGCTAACAATAATAATACATCTTATTGATAAACGAATGAATAAAGGAAGGTCACCTAAGCCAAGCTCACGACAGGACAGATTATTATTGTTCTATTTCCATATAAATACGTATGTATGTATCTATATGAAAGAAAAATATAATACATAATATAATATAAGGATATAAAAGGTAATCGTTATCACATTGAAAATAAGATTTTCTGCGAATCGATAAAAGGAATAAAAGCTGATTTCTCTCTCTCTCTCTCTCTCTCTCTCTCTCTCTCTCTCTCTTTCTCTTTCCATCTATCTATCTATCTATCTATCTCTCTTTCTCTTTCTATCTTTCTCATCGACTAAAACTAGACTGACAACTTGATGGATTTTATTTGCCTCCGTACATCCTCGTTTAGACAAGAGAACTCACTCCCGTACTTTTATCCACTTTCCACATCTTTCTTTCTTCTTTCTCTCTCTCTCTCTCTCTCTCTCTCTCTCTCTCTCTCTTTCTCTATCTATATCTATATATCTATCTATATCTATCTATCTATCTATCTATCTATCTATCCCTTTTCTCTTCCGCATTCGCTTTCTCTCCCTTGTTCGTCGGTGAACTCGAGTATTTGATATCCTAGCATTTTAATCCTGACGTGGATAGATACTGTTTGGGCAAACGGTGGTCGACGCTGAACCAGAGAGAAAGAGAAAGAGAGAGAGAGAGAGAGAGTGAGTCCAGGGTGACGCATGGCTTCAAACACGTTTCCTACGTACATACATATATTCCACGCACACCAACGTATATACGGGGTGGGTCATTTCGATTGTTCAACAATGATATTATCCATAAGATAATCATAAAAAATCTTTTCGATAGAACGTATTTAAATACACCGAAGTAAATCCTCGATTTTTTAATCTATAGATTAAATATCATCAGTTCGATGAACGATTAATATATTTACTTGGAATAAATTAAACTTTGAATACTTTGAAATTCTTATCTCACCCTATATAAGTATTCAATGATAGAAAGAGAAACGAAAAGGGTTAAACCAAAATCGTACCCAACATATCCCTTATCGATCACACGGTTAGAAAGATTCCTTCGAGATTTCATTAGAAAAAGATTCCTTCGAGATTTCATTAACGATTTCGTCATAAGCTTTTATCATTTTATTCTTTTTTTATCATATTTTATATTTTATTTTATTTTTTTTTTTTTTATCATTTCATTCAATTGTTCGAACGGATAGATAACGTCGAAATTTTTTCTTCTGTTTATGAGTTTTCCCGACGAAGAAGAGAAACTTAAAGTGGCGGAGTCGGCCAATGCAATCGAGATTAAAGAAGAAACGCGAGATGCTTAATCGTTGAAGGTACGATAGATCGACCAATCGATTGACCGATCGATCGATAGATCGAATGGAAGAACTAAGGAACGAATGATCGAACGAACGAATCAGGATTTATAAAGTCTAGCCACGCAGAAAAATCTTAGACATCTTGACGAGAACATGTATATATAGTATATATATATATATATATATCTTTCTTTCCTACTAGCTGAGATGCTCTATCCCTTTTCTTTTATTTCTTTCTCTCTTTCTCTCTCTCTCTCTCTCTCTATCTATCTATCTATCTATCTATCTGTTACTCTTTCTATTCTTCGTTTCATCCTTATCTCTCTCTCTCTCTCTCTCTCTCTTTTCTATATACGTGTATGCGTGGGTCCGACGGGCGTTTAGGGACTCGAAGATTAAGCCCGATATCGAGTTTCAGAGAGCGGCACGGGGTCCTGTACCTTTCTTTCTAATTCCCCGTAATATTTTAATCCGACCGATCGAACCCTTTATCTTCGAGGCTCATGCTCCCGCGTTGGCCGCGAACTCGAAACTTCTTCTTCTTCTTTTTCTACCTTTTATTTTATATTTTTATTTTTATATTTATTTTCCTTTTTTTTTCATTTTTTATTCTTAGAGAAGTAGTACGATTTATGCGTATATATATATATATATATATATATATATATATATATATATATATATATTCAAATAGATCTTAAAGGAAGAAGCTTACCATTGTGCGAACTAAGATCCCTAGGTTTGTGATCCAATGCAAGAGCCCTTTCAGCATCTCCTCTTTCTTCACGAAGCCTATAACAAAAGATAGAAGAAAAAAATTATGGTCGACGATAATCTTAAAGTTTGAAGAAGAAAAAAAAGATAAAGAAAAGAAAAGAAGAAACAAAGAAAAAGTAATTGAAAGATCGATTTTTTATTAACGATTTGTAACTTTTACGTCGATGAATTAATTCGTTTTATATAGATTATGCATAGCTCGACGAAATCTTCGAAATCATTTAACTTTACGAATTGTAATCGAATGTGAATGATTATTTTTTTCTTTATTTTTTCATTTCTTTTTTTTTTGCCTCTACACTGTTTAATCCATCCAGTAGTAATTATTATCTCGTTTAATACACATTGTTTAGATTTATTTCGTAATTATTGAAAAATTCGTACGCAATTGACGAATAACTCGGTAGACTGGTAAATCCGTGAATTTTCATAGTAAAATAAAGTTTAAAAAAGAAGAAGAAGAAGAAGAAAGAAAAGTTTAAGAAGGAAGAAAATGAAGAAGAAAAAGAAATGAAAATAATGTAAGATGGAAAATTTTTAACGAACCCAAAGAAAAGAAAAGAACGAAAAGGTATTTTTCTTTTCGCGTTCTCATTGGCCGTCGGGCAATTTTTTTTTTTTTTTTATTAAGTACAAGAAGCAAGAAAGAGAAAGAGAATTCAGTCGATGGATTCTCTTTTTCTTTCTTTTATTTCTCTTTGGTTTCATCATTCAGAAAGGTTCGAGTTTACGAGAACGATGGCGCTCATTAAGATATCGCAATGACTATACTTAACGAAAACTTTTAATTTCACTTTAATATTGTTTGCCTATCTGTTACCTTAAGGCATTATTACTTTATCACAAAAATCCCTTCAAATCCTTCTCTCGTAATAACCTACGATCGTGGATGCGATCTGTCAAGACTTGAAGGAAAAAAATAAAGAATTAAATAAATAAATAAATAAATAAATAAATAAATAAATAAATAAATAAATAAATAAATAAATAAATAAACAAAGTAATCACAAATTTTTCCATTAAATTATAATGCGTCCGAACGAAATTTCATTTTTTCTTTTTTCGGACGAATTAAATGAAGATCAAAGTTATCAGATTTCTTTTTGGTATAATAAAAGGGACTAAAAAAGAAAAAAAAAAAAAAAAAGAAAAAAGAATCGATCGGCTAGTCGATGTCCCTTGATAAAAGGGTTTAGGGAAAGCGTGTCTTCCACTCTTAATGGCGAAGAAGAAGGGTAGCCCTGTAGCTTTTATCGTGTGGTTTACGGCCGAGGTCATCCGCGTGCTCGCGGATTTATTTTCCAAGAAGCGTTGCCAGCTGTAGGGAAGTATAGTTCTCTGAGTCTCTCTTTCTCTCTCTTTTTAGCGATTAGGATACTTTTTTCTGAAAGATGTGCTTCGTCCTTCTTTCATCCCTTCATCTTCACGTATCTCTCTCTCTCTCTCTCTCTCTCTTTCTTTTGTTCTTACGTCTCAGTTTCTCGCGAAAATTATTCTCTAGGGTATACTTTTTCTTTTTCTTCTTTCTTTTTTTTTTTTTTCTGTAGGATCCACAATGTGGATCGGAGGCCTCTTTCGCACCTCGAATCGAACCGCGGACCATTAAGTAAGAAGTTAATATCATTAAACATAATATCGGGCGCATCTGGGAGCCACAGAGCACTTACCGACCCTCCGCCCTTTCCTTCCCCTCTCCACTCACCTTCTCTCTCTCTCTCTCTCTCTCTCAATTTCTCTCTTTCTCTCTCTCTCTCTCTCTCTCTCTCTCTCTCTCTCTCGGTCTGTCTTTCTCTCTTTCTATCTTTCTCTCCTTCGCGTCTCTCCACCCCTTAATTTTTTAATGAGAAAATGCTTTCAAAGAGCCAGAGAGAAATACCGTGTCTACGAGCGATAAGTTACGGTCTCTCACCGAAGGGGAGAGTGAAAACCTTCTTTTCCCATACTTACCGCCTTTCTTCGATGGCTTTCATTCTATCTCTATCTCTCTTTCTCTCACACACACAAACACACGTACACATACTATTATTTTCTCTTTCTTTCTCTCTTTCTCTCTCTCTCTCTCTCTCTCCCTCACTCTGTCTCTTTATTTCTTTCTTTCCCTCTTTCATTTTTTCTATATGGATCCATTTTGCGTAGGACGCAAAAACTAAGGCAAATGGACTGTTTAGATGAAACATATAATTCCGTGAAATTGAAACGTTAACAAGAGGGAAGATACTTTCGATCGTATTTAGAAATTTCTAATCTATCATTTAGTCGACGTCATGGAGCACACATATAGATAAACATATATATATATATATATATATATATATATATATATATATATATATATATATGTAATTCGAATAAAGTATCGGTTTTCTCATCGCAAATGATGATAACTGGAAATAGAAGAGTTGATAGGGAAGACAACTTCTTAACTAATAAAAAGGAAATAAAAAAAGATTGGACGAATATATATATATATTATATACATATATATATACATACATACGTATATATATATCTTCATTTCTCTCTCTCTGTCTCTCTCTCTCTCTGTCTCTCTCTCTCTCTCTCTGAAGCGTCAGCTATCGTAACGACTTAATTTCGAGGATAATTAAATTTTAATTGGTAATACGAGTCGATTAAGGTGCCCGATGAATATCTCGGATGGCCTCCGTTTTATCTTCTTTCTTTTTCTCTCTTTTTCCCTCTTTCTCTCTCTCACTCTTTCTCTCTTTTTCTCTCTCTTTCTCTCTCTTTTTCATCTCTCACGAAATCTATGCTATTCGTTGTAGAATAAAGGTGAAGTGAACGAGAATGAGAGAGAGAGAGAGAGGGAGAGAGAGAGAGAGACAGATAGGAGGAGACTCAAATCGCTTAGATGTTGCGGCCTCGCGATAACCGGCAACGAAGCAGGGTTATTAAGTTTGTAATTAGTCGAATATTACAGACTCGCGTCACGGCGTTCACCGTGTAACACGTCCGTCCGTGCATATCTATGCGATATATGCGTACGTACCCGTTCAAGCGTCGTTAACGCGTTACGGCTTTCATTACGCTCTTGTGGTACGCGGTTCTTGAGTGATTGGCAGCATATATATATATATATATGTGTGCTGATTATTATATATATATATATATATATATAAGATGCTTAATAGCACCACCAATGATAACGACTACTCTAACGTGCACATTGATTCTCTTTATGGTTTCAAACGAATCCATGAGTTTATTATCACGTCTTTATCGTCTCTAACATTTCTTTCATTTTTCTTCAACTTCATCTAACTTCATTCACATTTCTTCTTTTTCTTCCTCCTCTTCTCTCTATCCTATCCTTTCATTTATTTATATGTTCCTTTTCTTTTCTTTTTCCTCTTTTATATCCTCTCATTTCTTTCAGTTTTAATTGAACACCCATATATTACCAATTATAAATCAAAATAATTGTCTCTGCTAAAGGAATTATAATTCTAAAGAAATTATAATAAAAGAATTAAAATTAATTATCGAGATAGTTTATGAGAATTTATTTATCCTTTAATAAACAATTTCGTTTAATTAATATCTCTTTTTCTTTTTTCTTTGTTTCTTTTTTTCTTTTTTTTTTTTTTATTTTAAACGACAATATATTAGATTTGTATTGTATTAGAAAAAAAGCAACGAAAATTGTTAAATAAGGATTTGTAAATTTATTATAGAGGAGAACCCTAACCGTGGAACCAGTCTCACGCTTAACACCGTACAAAACTAATAAGCCGAAAGAGCGACTGCCCTTTCTCCTCTTCGTCTTTGCCTTTAATTTTGATTCCGTAATGACGGACTCTGCGGGGAATCTCTCTCTTTCTCTTTCTCCCTCTCTTTTTCTCTCGCTCTCTTTCTCTCTTTCTCATCCTAACTGTTTAGAAAGGACCTTCTCGAAACAGCAGGAGTTCATTAAGTTTCCCATTTCTATCGTGGTAAAACGAGGTGAAGACTTATCGGACTACTCGCGACTTACGTTCTTAAATAGAAGAAGTATGATAATGGTAATGAATGAGATGGAATAGAGTGGGATAGATAACATTACTAAACTTATGTAATCTTTAATTTCGAGTTTATTTAATCTTTAAATTCATTTAATATAAAAGAAATGGATATGTATATTAGATTTTTAGTTTGAACGAACAACGATGAACAAGGTTCAGTAATTTCTTTTTTCTGTTTTTTTTTTTTTTTTTTTCTTATTGAAAATATTTACTTATAGGCCAGGAGACAATAATATATTATATACATATTAGATAAAACAAAATGCAATACTATATAGTATAATATACTGTCTGATATTACATGATATGTATGTATGTATGTTAATTAAAAAATCCAATATTATGTATATAATTTCTCAATAATTTATTTAATTAATATATATGTAAAATTAATTAAAACGATCTTAGAAACATTGAAATGTATGGATTAATTATTATTATTATTATCTCGTACAGATTCTCCAAAGAGTAGGAATGTTTTAAATCGACAGAAAGAGATATAGACAAAGACAGAGACAAAGACAGAGAGAGAGAGAGAGAGAGAGAGAGAGAGAGAGAGAGAGAGAGAGAGAGAGAGAGAGAGAGAGAGAGAGACAAGAAGAAAGAGTGAGAGAGATAACGAATAGGCTTTGACATTTTTCAATCGCTTTGATATCTTCTTGCGACGTGTATCAGAGAGCTAGCTTGGGCTTTCGACGATCCTCTACATGAAATCAAACGCATCGTCGGCATAACGCGAGCACGAGCTAATGACGACAGCAATTGTAATATCGGGGAACATGACAAAGGGGATTGCCTCATCCCTCTGCACCCCCCTTTCGAAATGGCGAAGGTATGTTCAACGGTAGTGGTACCCCTTCCGATCGTCGACCAATCGGCAGCTTTTCCGATAAACGATCTACGTGCCATCGAAATTCCACCTCCATCCTCCATCCTCCATCTACTACTACCACCATCACTGCCACCACCACCTCCTCCATCTCCTCCTCCAACTCC